CAGGAAGGTAGCGGCGGTGGGGGCCGCCCGGGGCAATGGGGGAGCTGAGTTTGCTGAGGCTTGGGGAAGAGCTGCACGGGCACATGCACGCACAGAAAAGCATGCACGTACTTGTGCCCATGCATATGTGCATGCTTGCATGCCTCAATGCATGTGCATGCACGTGCATGCTTGCACGGTCACGCACACACACAGACACGCATGTGCGCTCAGTTCAGTGCTCACACCTGCACGTACATGCACACGCGTTTGCATCCATGCAAATGCACACGCACAGGCCTCCCCGTCTTCCCCTGCACCCGCTGTCCTGCCCATTTCCCTTTTTCCTTTCCAAGCTGACACTGAAACCTGAGGGGAAGCTCGGAGGTGGCTGGGAAACCCCCTGCCCTTGCCGTGGCAGGAAGGTTGCGGACTTGGACATGGAGATTTATCCTGGCGGGATTCCAATGTGGAGACTGGGGAGGGGGGTGTCCCTGGGCCCCCATAACACTCTGCACTGCCAGATCACTGAGCTCTCCAAGGAGGTATTTAAGCTGAAGGAGGCCCTGAACGCCCTCCCTGAGCCCCGAGGTGCCTCGCAGCCACCCCCGGACCCTGCCCTGCTCCAGGCCAGGATCCGGACACTGGAGACGCAGCTGGTGGTGGGTATTAGGGGCGCAGTGAAGTGGGGGGCACTGGTGCCAGTGCTGGAGTGGGCTGGGGGTCCTGTGAGCCCCCAGCCCTGTGCTTGACTCAGCTCCCTCCTCCTGGCTTGAAGGAGATGGAGACACGGCACAGCAAGGTGGTGACACTGTACCGGAGCCACCTGCTCTATGCAGTGCAGGTGAGTTGGGGATGCCACGTTGGGGGCTGAGGACATTGTGCTGGCGGGCTGGGGACACGGCTGCACGGACCAGTGTGCTGCCTGGGAGCATCACACTGGGCCCATCGATGCCCACTTGCGTGGGGGTTCGATCTGGGCGCTTCTGAGCCAGCTGCGCCAGGCTCGAAGGACCGCTGTCCCCTCCTCTGTCCCCTGTGATGTTCCCTCTGCCCCCAGGGCCACATGGATGAGGACGTGCAGAAGCTCCTGTGCCAGATCCTGAAGATGCAGCGGCTGCAGGAACAGGGCAGATGAGCTCTGGCCGACCAGGGAGCACCGCGGCGGGCCAGGGACACGGGCAGCGGCACCGGCCGGGGGCCCGGCCGTGTGCGAGTCCCCACGGCCACAGCGCCCCGCTGCTCCCCTCTTGCTGGTGGGCACCTGCTCACACACGTTCCCCACACTCACCTGGTCCTGTAGCCAGCACTGGGGTCTGGGACACCATGGTGATGTCCCCACAACTCTGTGCACCCCAACACAGCAGCAATAAAGTATTTATACTCATGCCAAGGGGCGCAGCTCATCCTTTTGGATGGAGGACAAGGAGGGGGACTGCTGGCATGAGGCCATGGATGCTTGGAGGTGTAGGTGAGGCCTGGGTGCAGGGTTTGGGCACATCTCTGGTGGTGTCCCCAGCTGTGCTAGCACCCCTGGGACAGGCCTGAGCCAGTCACCAGTGAAATAGGGTGTCCTTTGTGGGACGGCAGCATGGGAAAGGTGGGAAACCCTCTTGGCTGGAGCCAAAAGCACCAGAGATCCCCCCTGTGCCATGGGCTGCCTGCGGGGCTGGGCGGTGACGGCTCTCCGGCTCTCCCGGCACCGGCAGCGTTTCCTGTGCAAGGAAGTGGGCTGCGGCTGCGGCTTCCCCAGCCCCGCGGCGGCCGGACGCCTGGCCGGGCTGTGGTGAGCGCTGGGGTGGGCCTGGGGAACCCGTGGGTTTGGTGGGGTCACTTGGTGGTGCCGGGCTGGGGGACATCCCCATGGTGCCAGGCTGGGGGACATCCCTGTGGTGCAGGGCTGGGGGACGTCCCCAAAGTGCAGGGCTGGGGAACATCCCAAGGGGCTGGACATCCCCATAGTGCAGGGCTGGGGAACATCCCAAGGTGCTGGGCTAGGAGGCACCTTAGGGAATCCCTTGTCTTAGATGTGGGAAACTGAGGCATGATTCCCACAGCAGGGCTGGTTGCTGACACCAGGGCTGAGCCAGGCCTGGGCTTGGCGTGAGATATCCTGGGGGCAGGATAGAGCCTGGCGGTGCTGGGGACGGCCACGCAGGGGATCTCAGCTCAGCTCCCTCCCAGCTGGGTTCTGAGAGGTTCTGTGGGGAGCCTTGTGCAGGGACGGTCCCTCTTGGACCACCCCAGGAGGGTGGTGGCCACCTGGGCACCACCAGCCCCTTCCCTAGCCCGGTTGGCTGCATCCAAAGCCCAGAATCACCCAAAACCTCAGTTCCCGGTACTGAACTGAGCTCCAGGTCCAGAGATGTCTGCAGGCCCCCGTGGGAACCCCTGGCCACACCGGGCGCTTTAACTCCTGGCTCTACCCCCTGCTCCTTCCAGAGAGCAGGATCCAACCCCTGCGGGGAGGAACCAGACCCTTTCCCAAGGGATGCAGCGAGGCCGGAGGGGAAACTGAAGCCTGGCAGTGTGGGGTGGCTGGAGGGCTTGAAGTCCTGGTTTGAGGGCAAGAGCCTGCAGTAGGGTGCTGGGGACACCCTGGGGGCCCTGGGGCCACCGTGTTCCCGTGCTCCGCTGGCCTGGAGGTGACCGGCCCACTGTCCTCGCAGGTCTCCGGCTCTGGGCAGCTCTGCTGGGTCACCCCAACATGAAGCTTCTTTGGGTGGTGGCTCTGGTGGCACCCGCTTGCACTGCTCCCTGCAACAGCACGGCGGGGGGTGCCGGGGATGGAGGTACCGGGAGACGGGGAGCGGGGACGGGAGGTGGTGGGGATTTGGGAAAGCAGGGAAGAGGGCACTGGAGGGGCTGGGGATGGAGGAGGCATGGGGGGAGCTGAGAGGACTGGGGACAGCAGGATGGGGAAGGGGGTACTGATAGGGCTTGGAATGGAAGTACGGGAGCCAGGGCGATCCCAGGTGGAAGTATGGGAACACTGGGAGGACATGGGGGGCACCAAGAGTGGAGGTAGGGACCTGGGGAAACTGGGCATGGATGTCGAGACATGCTGGGGGAACTGGACATGGATGTCTATGGATGCTGGGGGAACTGGGTATGGATGTCTATGGATGCTGGGGAGAATGGGAACATGAGGGAGATTGTGGATAGAGATATGGGGGACTGGGGAAACTGGGAATGGAAACCCGATGGGACTAGGGATATGGGGGAGACTATGGACAGAGATATTGGGGAGTGAAGAAACTGGGAATGGAAGTTGCCAGATACTGGGGTTCTGGAGACATGGGTGAGACCATAGAAGGAGGGACAGGGACTGGGAGAACTGGGCACGGTAGTAAAGAAGGGATCGGGGGTGCAGAGTGGGAGGATCAGGGGATGGGGGCAGTGCGAGTGGCACAAGGCCTTCCTATCCCCCCTGCCTTACTGCCCCGTACGGACCCCTGCGGAGGGCTGGAAGCCTGGTGGGACGCAGGAGTCCGGGAGGGCGGGTGGCACAAGGACCTGTGTGCCCCAACTCCAGGCTGGGGAACAGCACCCTTGGAAGTCCCTATGAAGGAGGCAGGAAGGAAGGTGGTGGGGGGGAAGATCAGTCTCAGCCCTGGTCACTGGGTAAGGGAGATGGCCATGGGGTCCGTCCCGCATCCCCACAATGTCCCCAGGTGGCTGCAACCTGCAGCATGGCACGCTGGGTGCCGCGGTGCTGCTGCGGTGCCCGGCGGCGTCCCCGGCCGCGTGGTGCTGGGGAAACACCCCCCTGGGCACCCACCCCGCGCCCGGGCTGGCCCTGCCCAACGCCAGCCGGGCCCACGAGGGCCGCTACAGCTGCCACCACCCCGGCACCGGTGACACCTGGGCCACCGTCTGCCTGCGCCTGGGCTGTGAGTGACGCCAGGGCCCTGCCAGAGTCCCCCGTTGGCCCCGGGGCCCTGGTGGGGGGATAACCCGGGCATCTCCCTGGCCCAGATCCCCCCGCGGCGCCGGCCGTGGAGTGCTGGGCCACCCGCTAC